TGGTTCTCCGTTTTCCAAGTAGCCTATGCCTGTACAAGGTGCCCTCTTCTGCTTTGAAGGAGGCGACTTGAACGTGTGTCTTCTTTCCTGAGTCAGACAAACTGGTGGAGTGAGGTTCTATGTTTGGATTGAACCAAACAAAGAATTGTGGCTCCAACTTCAACCAACAAATTCCTGGAGAGATTTTCTATGTTTGTGAAGACTAGATAGACCAGTACTTCAGTGAAGAAAGAAGTAATCGAATATGTTAAAACCAAACCCTCTGACTCTGGTGGGGAGGGGTTCTAGGTTTGTGAAAAGTAGTACCATGTGCTGACCCACGGACATTGCTCAACCTGAAATCCAAACGCTGGGTCACTGTGTGTGTTGCTGTTTCCCCAACTAGAAAACCGAAAGAGTGAGGTTGCCAACTCCTAAGCACTTGGGCATCAGGAAAAGCCATCAAACTCTGTCCGAAGCAAGTGGCCGGTGGTTGCGGTTTCTCTTGCTCTGAACCCGCTGCACTTGCCAGCACAAATGTCTCCATGAACTTGTCCAACGCGTCCTGTGATTTCATGAAGGCATGTAGCAAATTAATCAAATTAACGTGGCACCTGGCAATGAGCGTTGGTGTGAAAAGATCTTGACTCCGTCCATAAGAATGAAAAACCGGCTAGTTGCACTGGAACATGAAAGGAGTGGATCTGTCCTCATCTTCATGTTCTTGTGTGCCATTGTTCTCATCTGTCTTCATGGTCTCATCTGTGTTCTCTGCAAGCGCCCTCCCCTGAAGCGAGGCCTTCAGCTCTTCTAGAGCTTTCACGCCTTCCTCCATGACTCGGGTCCCTTCTCAAGGAACAAGCGTGGGTCTCTTCTCAAGCCCAAACTCTGCAGCCAGCAGCAAAATCAGATTTCCCGGGAAACTCTCCAAAACACGAGCACACACCAATTAAACGTAGAACTTCCAGACCCCAGAGCCCTCGACCTCGAAAAGTTCTATGTTTAATCGTTTTGTGGCCCTGGTTTTGTTTTTTGCTGGGGATACCAATATCGTCTTGGTTTGCCGTTTGATGCACAAACGTAGAACCTGCCTTAGTGGTATCTAAATGCATTTACGCGTTGAAATGTGATAAACAAACGTAGCACCCAACTTTTTTTTTTCAAAACGGATAGGATACGTATAACTGCGTGGGTGTATATATATGTACCCGCTGCATGAATCTCTATCTGAACATGTTCCGGACTCACGTTCCAATCTGTATAAACATCGCATGTCTTATACCAGTGAGATGCCCCCAGTCTTGAGACTTGGGCACTGCAGTGGTGACCAGACCATTGGTTGGACCAGCGGCATGGATGAAAAGCCGTGGATGGACCCCCCAAACCTGACAAAGACATGCCCTCAAGGGCAATAAACCCTAGGGCTCCTGGCCCACGTCCTCATGTTCGGTGGTTAGACCCCCAGTCACCCACCTCAACCACCTTCACCTGAGGAGGTGGGCCAGGAGCCTTAGGGAAATCGCACTGAACACTCTCGTGGTCGGAGAGGACATCCGCGTCTACGGTGCTCCGCCTCAGGTGCTCCGCTTCCTTCAACGTGACCTCAAGCTACATCCCCGGGTGCCCACCGGCACGTGGAAGGCGTCGAAGTAGCTTTCGGAAAGACCGGACAGATCAGTCCGTAACGCCCAGACCGGCCGGACAAGGAGCGTTTCGGGTGGCCGAACAGAGCATTCGCCCCGCCGCCGAGTGAGACTAGAAAAGCATAGCTATGTCCTGAGATGGAGGAGCAGAAACCAGATACTGAGAGTGAGTCGGGAGGTGTCCCGGAGCTTCACTTGTATGGTACTAGAGTTCTATGATCCCTGATCCTCCTTCTTCGTTCCGAGTACTCCTACTTCCTGCCGCTCGAGCATTTCGGGTTAGGGTTTCATTCCGGGGCAACTCGCTCGATGTCCTGCTTCGCACTCCGCTAGGCGCCAGTACCTTGGATCGAGGACCTGTTTCTCTCGCTCGTGCTGCAGAGTGCGGAAGCTCGGTCGTTGTGCCGAGAGAAACTGAAAGCGGACACACACAGCACACCGTTCAAACGATCATGCGACACCAACCACCGAGTACAAGGGTTGGATGGTCAATGGACATCCCTTAAATCATCTTAAACCTGCTTGTGGGGCTATGAACAAACCGCCTCAAATGGGGTGAAGGACTTCGGTATATAAAAGGCGGCTCCAAGCACCGGGAAGGCCGCCGAAACGCAGCGGGGAGACGTTCAAACGGTCTAAGCGCTCGCTGGGTGAGAAGAAGAAGAAGAACTTGGCGGACCGGGTGAAGAAGAAAATCAGCGACATCAGGTGCCAGGCAATCGTGTTTCGACTCTAAGTCGGATTGCCAGGCAAAGATTTGTGTCACATGAATGTTTGTCTATTTTGGCTGGGACCCAACTTAATTATGCCGATTCATTTTACAACCATTATGATAATCAAGCTCCCAGTTTCTTGCGGGTTTCTTTCCGCAAGAAACTCGCAAGACTCCCTCGAACCAAGCTCATGACACCAGCCTATACTTAAACAATAGACTATTCACCAGAGGTGCAAGCTTTCAAAAGGTAGGTGTATTTTGTTCGATTGGGAGAAGAAGCTTCCGGAAACTGACGACGGATCTTCATGGTGTTCGTCGATTTCGTCGGCGTCCGTCGTTCCGAAACATCGACCCGACTGTCAGTTGGCCCCCTGCTCAGATGCTTCGTTGGACCTCACAAATGTTGAGGAGCCGGTGGCGTGTGGCGTTGCTTGTTGTCGCTTCAAGCAGGACGTCCCACCACCTCCGAGGACCAGGCGAAAGATCAGTCAACCATCCAAAACGATCCAAATTCCACGAAAGCTCAGAGGGTGGATTCGTAGGGACTGAGGTTAGGCTGCTGGTTAGGCTGCGGCAGCGTTTGAAAGTACGGCCTGGCAAGCCCGATTTGGTTTGTTGATGGATTTTGAATGATCTTAGATATGTTTTTTCTGATGCAAATAGCGGGTTCTTCCAAAACACAGCCATCAAGTCAAGGGTCAGAAGGACTCTTGAATCCCGCATATCCCCCTATGTTATGTCAATGTTATGGATTGGATTTTCTGAAGGCTGCTGATGCCGAACTTCACGCGACAACATTGAAGTCGGGGGTGAAGGGGGTTGGAATGGTGACATAAAACCAGTCTTGCGATGGCTGTTCTTTTTGATGAAGAACCAGGTACCACAGACAATCCTGATCTAAACCTGTTTTACTGCTATAGAAATGTTCATGGCACACAAATTTCTGTGGCTCTGCTGGAATGTCTACAGTGTCAGGTGTAGATGGCAAAGCCTCTGAGTCGAACAGATTTGGCCAGGAGGGATTGCCCTGAATCGTTATTTTGTTTTTACATAACCGTGTGACCGTGTCAAATAATGTTTACCTACCACAGACATGTCGCCTCCTTGCTTCGACTGTGGACTACCCTTCAGAGGTATGGATCCAAACCACAGAACCAAAGTCAAGTGTATGGCTTAGTCTTAGTCAATTCCTTCTTTAGTAGCTACAAACTCACGCGTACCCACACCCAGCTTGCCTGGCTGCATGGCGGTGCCATGCCAAAAATGTGTAGCACCTCAGCTTCAGTGATGAGTTCGAAACGTGGTCCCACCTTTGCCAGCTTGGTCCTTCGAATGCAGAAGCAAAACACGTGTTTCTCACCGATCAGATCCGTAGAAAAAGCAGTCGAAGGATCCCACCAGTTCATGGTTGGTGGGGTGGATTTGCCCAAGACGACTCGAAAAAGGGCTTAAGGGGTCAGCATATCATCCACTAAGTCATCCACTATGAAATCAGTCTATCAATGTCTATCATGTTGACTGATGAAACCACCCCCCCCAAGTGGATGCTAGATGATCACCATCTCCGAAAGATCAACTGTCAACGACCTCAGTTGGAGGCCTCGAGCTGGCAGGACCTCCACTTCCAATTTTCCGCGGCGTCTGCCGCGCGGATTCGAGGCGACGTGCGTGACCTGGAGTTCGCCGGTGACCCGACCCCTCGTGGAAGATGGACCCTGAAAAGTCGTGGAGAAGAGTCTGTGCCAGGGGTCCATTTTCACGGTCCATGGTGAGGAAGGCAGAGGCTGCCATTGGTTCTCGGATGCTTTGACCTGGTTCAACCCCCACGTGAAGCAACTAGATTGACTGCCATGCTGGGCCATGCGGCTGCAGAAACCAAGCTCTGGCAGTTGGCTTCCAACATGTTCCAACAAAGAACTATACACGATGCCAAGGAGGAACGGCATGATTTCATTGATGTTCATCACCAGACTCAGGTAGACCTGCGAAAGACTGTGTTGAACCAAAGCACCCAAGCACGTGATGCGAGACAAGGTGGTCCAACCTCTCAGTCACGGTCACTCCGTCGGGGACCTCCCTATTTCGACCGCCTCTTTGGATCTTGGCTCAAGAGGACCGAGGCCCAGAAACGCGGTGCGAGTAAGAAAACCACGGGAAGAGACTGGCGCGAGGAAACATGCAAGGGAACCCAGCCTGGGTGGCCCGTGGTCGGGCGGATGGGACTGAATGTTCAGCTGTGTGAGTGCGTCTTAGACTAGGTACTGCAGACAGTAGACCTCATAACCATTCACAACCCATAATATATTTGTATATGTATTGTGTAATCTTTCGGAGAAAATTTGGAGGAGCGTTGCTTCGCTGATGCCCAGGGGCGGTCTCCATTCGGGCAGGTTCATTATTAGATCAGATATTAGAGTATACATGAGTATACAGTATACCCGTATTGTAGTGGAACCCCTCATTCTGAGACCTCTTCCAAAATGTCCGCGGGTTCGACCACTCCCCAGCCTGCTCCTCGACAGGGACCAGAAATGAGCCAATGCAGGCCTCGCGTTTTCACACCCCAAACCTGGCATTTACTAGTCTTAGATCCCTGACACGTTGACTAGCGATCCCATGCGTGAGTGAGCTTCAGATGCTTGGTGCGAACGCTCTTTCGACCGATGAGGTTCAAAAATACCTACCAGTCTGGATTCCTGTCCATTCTCTACTCCATCGGCAGCAAGCCTCTTCAGATCTGGGACAAGAAGGTGCGTCTTCCATGTCGACGGCTGGATCTGAGCAATTGCCAGATAAGATCTGAGCACCTGAAATAATCACGGAAGTGGACAACCCCCTGTTTGTAGAGGAACATGGTCTTTCTAGGGGCCCAGGACGTCCACTTCTTGCAGGGAGGGTAATTGCCAAGGAACGCGAACACAGAATCACATTAGGCAATCACTCCGATCCATGTATGATCTTTACGTACATTGGGGTGGTTAGAGGGGTCAGAATCAATGTAAAGAAATAAATATAACTATAACGAAATACAAGTCGGAACCCCACACTATAATAGTGTTAACCATAGAAAAATTGACCCAGGATCATAGAGGAGTGTCTGGGTAGTGGTAGCCAAGGGTAGAAAGTCTGCTGACCGCGTCCATGAATGTCAGGGTACCTGAAAGACACCCAAACACCAAGCCTTAAGAGGTACACTCCGGCACGGGACCACAGGAAGTTCCTCAAAAGCCGCTGACATGGATCCAAAGATCTGGTGCGGTGTGTGTTGCGTTTGCTTGCTTCGAAAACGGGTGGGTCCACGCCCGAAACCGCGGCTTTTTTGGTCAATCTTCAAAGGACAAACCGTTGCGGCGGTTGGGCAGCACGCTAGCAAAAGCCGGGAAGTTCACTGTCGAAACCACGCTGGCGGGCAATGTCCAGCGGGCCAGAAGGTCCTCTTAGCTTTAAGGGAAGTCATGGCGTGTTACAGGTTTCAGAGGTTCCACTGGGACCTAGATAGATGCCCCTTAGATTGGGGTCCATATGAACAAACAAAATGTGGGGTAAGTTGTGCCATGAACTATCCATCCACTATAATACCTTCCCTTCCAAACTGCCCCTTTCAAAGCTCGCATCGGCCCACATGTGGCTCGCGTGTGCAATGAACTTGATTTCAGATTTCTGGATTGTCTCCCATGATTTCAACTTACATGGCACTTCTCCCTCCTGGCAGCCAGTCATAGGTCCTTTTTACTTAGATATAGTATAGTGATATGTCAATGTGTGGAAAAGATACCACGGGACTTCTTGTCAGTGGGTGTTTGAAGGAAAAAAACGGCTAAGATCTGAAGGAAGGAGATTTGAGCGACTTCGTAGTCAAACAGATGGACATGGGGGGACATTAACAGACATTAAGATACATTGAGCATATAATCCCACAAATAACATATTTCCCTAAGAATCAAGGACCCTCAAAGTGAAGGTTTTGAGGGTCCAAACCCCTGCTATGCAGGGTCAAAACCCTCCATAGGAGGGTCCAATGATTCTTAGGGTTATATCGACCCGGATCGTCCAACTCTTCGGTCTGTAGAAGCCATGTCCGCCAGGTGCGCAATGGCCATATCAAGCGCCTCACGGACTCTGACATCCAATCCAGCGTTCTGGACCAGCGCCACCGCTCGTTCGCGTTCCACGACCGCGTGGTCGTTCGGTACGTGGCGCGCCGCGGGCTCCGAAAGGCGCCCCGTTTCGGTTCGGTAGCACCGGAGCCCAACGGATGGTCACGTGGACTGTTTCGCTCCTTGCCACTGCAAGCGTCGTTGCACAACCAACAAATCACAACCACAACACACACACACACAACACACAACATACACAACACACTACAATCAATACATTACACATTACACTACCACAAACGCAGAACCACAACACATGCACAACACACACACAACACACAATACACAACCAACAACACACAATGCACAACCAACAACACACAACCGCAAGCACGGCCAACAAAACACAATCACAAACACAAATACCCCGCCAGCAACACAGAACTAACAAACACAGAACCACAAACACGCAATCACACACACAGCCACAAGCACACAACCACAAAGGCACACAACCACAAAGGCACAACCACCAACACGCAATCACAAACACACAACAGACAATACACAACCACAAACACCATAGACAACCAACAAAGCCTCCGGCACTAGTCTAGCGGCTGTATAGCATACACACACACCATTTGACACATTTGTCACATCCCATGACATGATCTGATGTGAAGTAGTATTGTACTTATTCGATGACGTTTAACACTAGACCTGAAGGATGGCAGTAGTTGAGAGTGAATGGTCCTTGGTGATGGGTCAGCTGAAAAGTGATCCAAGCCTGTGGGCACATAGGATACACACGGACACCTAACAGGTTTAAGCTGTGGAGAACACCCCCGTTAGTGACATGTTTGCAAAAATATTTAGGCCACCCCTGCTAAACAAGAAGGTTGGAAGCTTCACACGTTGATAGCCCACCCGCTTTGGCAGGCGCTCACGGAACATGTGGCAGAGCTTGGTTTTCTTCGCTTGGTGTGACATTGGTTCGATGCCAACCAACTATCCTAAGGATGTTCTGGAGTCCTCCAGAGAAAAAGCAACGACCTAATATGTTTGGAGTCCTCTGGGACAGAACCCAAAATCATATTTGAGCTGTCATCTCACTATACTATAGCTCACTAGTCTGGCAAGTCTTGTTGAAAATCCAAACCTTGGGAGTCCAAGAGTGGAGTCGCTCAGACGGCGATCTGAGGATCTGCCGCTTGCTCAGACGCCGGCCCCAGACCGGGGGGTGTTCCCAGAAATTCTCCAGACCGGCTTCATCCGGCTTCAAAGGATGCTGACCCCTTCGATGAGCAAGGCTGAAGGTTCTCGTTTTAGGTCATAGAGCCCTCCAAGTGGCACTTTGTTCCTGGCAAAGCCGGTTCCATTTCAAGAAGTGATATTCCAATCTCGTGCAGGAGATCATGGGGACCAATGTGAGCACAACGTACATCACATGCCCGTCGGATCCTGCGAAGACACTGGGAATCAAACTCCCCTTCTTGGCACCTCGGCAGCCGTGCTCGTTGTACTTTGCCCACCCATGTGACTACGAATGCTGCACTCCAGGTTGGACTGAATGATCTTCCCATGACTTCAGACAATGGTCAATATATGGTGACACATGGTGACACGTCAAAAACTGGTTTGCTCACAAGCTCTCATGAGGGTTTCACCATTGCTGCTAGATCGTGGAGTGCTTCCACAGGATGGAAGCGCAGAAATACAGGATGTCACGAGCATTCCTGGACTTCCCAGGATGTCAACCGGAAGTCTCAAAAGATCTTAAATGGCAACAGCTGTTTTGCTTTTCCCAGACATGTTGGTTTTATCTAGGCTATCGGGATCCCTCACACCCCCCTGGCCAACGGGAAAAGTAGACTACCGCCCCGTTGGTTCGGTGTTTCATCATTCCGATTTGATCTCATCAAAACAGGATGTCAGAAGAGCTCGGCATGTCAGTGATCTTTGGCATGCCGACTGTTCAGAGGTCATGATCATCAAGAACCTGAAGAAGTACTTCACCTTTGAGGCCAGGGATACCAGGTGTTGACAAAGACTCAGTGGAGCATGGAGTCTTTGGGATTATAGGATTGATTATGGGTTATGGGTTTGTATAGTTTTTAACAGCGAACAGTGAACAACTCCCACCAAATGGAGTCTTTGCTAAATATGGGCTTGTATTTTACATGCAGACCCCTCCCCCGCACCAACAGGTTCTGGTCGATGTTCCTTCCTTCCCGTCCGCAGGTCACGGTTCTGGACGACAAGGAGGTCCGCCGGCGCTTCCGAGCCTCCAACTACCAGAGCACCACCAGGCCGTTCCGTCCGCTCCGCAGAGTTTGGGAGCGGGTTGGTCGACCTCTTGGTTGACCTCCAGAGGGTGGAGGGACGCATCGAGCTCTTGAGAGGACGCATGACTTTTGGGTGAACTTGGACCAGTTCTTGAATGAGTTGGCTTTTTGGTGGACGGTGGGGGTGAAGTCTTCGTGAGGAGTTCACAGTTCCACACCTACTGAGTGAAACGGTGGACAAACCTACCAAGTAGCTTTGCCTTTGCCTTTGACCAAAGGCCCCGCGGCCCCAGATGTGCGGGCATCATCATATATGTGGATCGAAAGGCATGTGGTGCTCCTTGCTTCGCGCTCCTGAAAAGAAGATCAAAAAAAAGCGTCCTCGCCAGGGTGAAGCCCTTCATTTGTACCATGCCCATGCGACTAGATGAAGGCTGGAACGCGGCGGTTCGCACGCGGAGGCGTTCCCGCAGGGGGTTCCTTTCGTTGACTGGGAGACATTCGGACTGTCTGGAGGGCATTTTTTGGGATGACTCCTCCTTTGGATGACTCCCCAGTCGTTTCGGTGGAATCTTCACGTCCGTGGTGGATCTTTATTATATGACCTGTTCAGAACGGCGACCGACTGGGGGTGTTCCTCTCCTTGATCCCAGCTTTCTCCCGATTTTGCCGCCGATCAGAGCCACCATGGAGTCAGAGGCACCACGGGCCGCCAGGAATTCAAAGATATCGAAGTGAGAGAGAAGAACTAGGGCTCAAAGATGCTCAAAGGTGCTCAAAGCCTTAGTGTTTCGACACATTGATGAAAGATAGGAAACTTTTCAGGATGCCATGCATCATTTGCCATAAATCTGTGCAGCTGCTCGCCACCAATCCCAGTTTTGACATATTTCGACCATGGCTCCCATGCGCAGATGAGCAGCGGTGAAAACTTCCCAACTATAGCAATTTGAAGAGAGGTTAATATGATGATGCCTTTGCGAAAGCTAAACATGCAGCCGCGAAAGATTTTGCGAGCTTTTCATGCGCGAAAGCTTGCAAAAGCTTGCGAAATCAGTTCATCCGCGAAAAGCAAACTGCTTAGAGCCCGTCGGAACACAGTCATTCTTGGAGTTTGCCGGTTGATGTATTATCCTGAAGAGTAGTAGCTTTCCAGAGAATAAGTTATCTACAGAATATCCTGGAGGTGACAATAACAGAATGTATAACATTGTCGGCATGCATAGCCAGGCCGGGAGAGCCAACGGCAATCCAACTACAGTATATTGATTGATATTGATTGCATGATTCCTTGAATAGCTATGATATATGAATAATTTGTGTTGCTTTGCTATGTACCAGCACCTTCCTTCACCAACGGAAGCCCTACACCACTTCTGAATCTCCATTGGGCACCCCGACAGGAGGGTTCAGGACGTCCAGGTACTCAGATACTCACGTTCGGACCGGCACGTTCTCGCCGTGGCCACCCGGTGGGGGGCACCGTGCCGTCGCTCCTGCAGGATGGAATCAGTGCCTCGCTTGGAAAGCCGCGTTGTTTGGACGTGGCGTGGGTCCACGTGCTCGCGAGGCGTTCGAGGACACACCTCGTGTGGTTGGACCAGCGGCTTCACTCGGTACACCATGAAAGACGTTCGAAACGGCCCGAATTCATGGGCCTTTTCGCAAGTTTAGGACCCGGGGTGCGACCATCGACCGAGGAAATCAGGACTGAGCTTTTGAGGGAAAAAACCTCAACATCCCCACGGACTCCGCGAGCGCACTGAGGATTCAGTTCAACTTGTCGGATTTCACCCGCCGCGCGTATGGGACGAACTACATCGAGACTTTGCGTGTGCAGCTCCATGCCAACTGCCGTGGCTTAGCGAATGAACAGGGAGGGAGCCTGAGCCATATACCTTAGTCGCCAGGACAAGTTCCTACGACTCCACAAAGGCAAGTCCTTTCAACCGGTCTTCCAGCTGCCCGCGGAAGCAACGCCAGAGGTAATATACTGTAGTGACACTGTAGTGGTTTCATGAACCCACCTGTGGCCCAAACAATTGTCGCAAGCAATTCGATCACTGATGTCAGATTCGAGGTATTTGACGAGCAAAAGAGAAACCACCAGACTGGACTCAAGTCCCAGCACCCTTTCTGTATGCAGGGGAACCGGATACTCAGCTAGCACATGCCCTCAAGGGAAGCCATCTACGGAGGTGAACCCGAGATAGCAAGAGTAACTATTTTTGGGTTGCTACGGGTCTAAAACAAATCAGGAGCTAGGGGCAACTTTCTCCATAAGAACATATGAACTTTATTGAGTTTGAGGGCCAGGTACTGTAACAATCTTAACTTCGAGGCTTAAGAGCTTGGTTTGACAATTTTACTATGTGCCAGAGGTGGCACGTCAGATAGTTGTTTACGAGGTTGGCCCCTGGTAACTTAATAAAACTATTAGTTGATATGCTTGCCTTACTGTAAAACCATAGGAATCCCCGAGGCCCTTAAGCCTTATGGTAGAAAATTCCTGGCCACATTCATGGCTACTATGGCCTCGCACGGCCTGTCACCTGTTTGCTGTTGGTGAGGTTGGATCCCTGGTGCGACACGAACCCGACAAGTTGGACTCCGATCGGCCCGACTCCGTCCAGGCATCCGGCGAATCTACTTCAGCGATCGGCTCTATAGCGAGGAGGAGCTGCCTCCGGAGTTCAAGCTCTTCCTCCCAGTGGCTCCGGCATTAAGAGAACAGGATTCGACAGAGAGTGCTGAGCCTTTTAAATTGTCTGAGTTGCGAGTGCGCATAGCTTGGCATAGCTTGGCTTCTTCATGCTTCATCCAAGTGACCGGTTGGGGATGTGGCCTAGGAGGTGTTGTTCTTCTCCTTAGCTGCAGCTTTTGGATCCTTTTGGAATCTTTCCAGGGCCTTCCGGGCATCACCTGGGGCCTTCCGGGTGTGCCAGAGAAATTCAGAAATGCCCAGGAGAAAAACATATTGTGTATCCTATTGTTTATTGGCTAGAGACGAAAGATAGACATTGACATGCAGGTTGACTGGATTGATACAGTTCCTTCTTGGGAGCCACTTATTTTGAGCTCCAACTAAGTTTCTTTGAGCTTATCCCGAGATCCAGAGCACCCCACCGGGGCCCCCCACGGTTGTCACACTCATACGGGAGCACGCAGATGGAAAAGTGAAAGGGGGATTCCTTTGAAGATCCCCACACGGAAAGTGCAGCGACCTTTGGAAGAAGGGATCATCATCTTCAAATATTGATTTTGCGGGTTGCTGTGAGAGTATGAGGAGTTTGTTGGAAATGATTTGAGCTTTTGAGATTTGATATTGAGGGACCTTCACCTTGGCCGTGATGTAAACATGATCGAACTGGGGGTTCTCCCAACTACTCGTAGTATATACGTTGCTTGATGTTGCTTGTGAATCTTCCCTGTACCTACGTCTACCATGTGCTTACAATGCTTCCATATACTCACTTCTTAAGGTTCACGTGGGGATCCAATCCCTTCCACAACTGGTGACTCCGACCCCACGTCCCACAATAGATCAGTAGTGGTAATTCCCCGACAGATTTATATTATAGTAAGACCTTGGACAAGCAGCCACCCTGCCAGGGATAAAACAAACCTTGATTCATTGGATTCCTTTAGTTCATTGTTTTGTTTTCTAATCCCTTTCTACTCTTGGCCTTATCTCCTGTACATAACATGTTCTTTTGGAGTTCCTTCCCAACAAAACTCATTTTTCTTGGGAGCCTTTCAAGACGCGTGGCATTTGCCATTTACCACGCACCACCCTTTTGAAGATGCTCCGTGAACCCGCCCTCTTCGGCTGAGACCCTGCCTCGCCAGGTGGCCCAGAAGGCACAAGGCCAGGCACAGGCTCAGGCCGCGCCCGCTGCAGCTGGACAATGAGGACTCGGCGAGGTTGATCGACTCGCTTCAGATGAGGTGGAATGAGGTGGATCTGGGGTCCAGGGGTGGATCTGTGCGGACCCCTTTTTGGGGGGGGCCAACTCGAACCAGACTCTTGGCAGACAAACCATGACAAACATCTCTTGGCTTTTGGCGTTTTGGGTGCCTCAGTCTTGATGGAAGAAATCCTACAGCTGGAAACCTCGAAGCTAAAATTTCGTGTAAACACTGTGTTTCCATGGCAGACTCATGCGGACTCTATCGACCGGTATGTTTAACCATGGGAATCCTTTGCCAGGTCCAGAGTCGGGGCGGTTAATGGACACCCCTTATATAAATCTTTTCGGAACTGTCAATAGACCACCCCATAGTAGCCTGGCAGATATTTATAAATGACTTATTAATACTTATTATAACTTATATCAACTTATATCCATCCCATCCCAGCACCACTCAGGTTGGGTTTTTTGACCTCCCTGACGATTTCCCCTCCAAACTGGCTGGTGCTGGTCACTGTTCGATCGAGCCTGGGCCCTATCACTGGCTCCGGCTTACCCACACCCGTGGGATCCGAAGTAGTACGTGGAATGAAAGTGGAACTGAAAAAAATGCAACAGCTACGGCCATCCACCATTCAGGATTGTCAGATGGTGGTTGGAGTTGGTCAGATTGGTCAGCTTTTGTTGGTGACGTAAGGCTTCTACGTTCCTTTTTGGATCTGGAGTTCCTGCCCTTTTCCTGCGCGCCCATGCGCGCCGCATGCGCCCAGGAGCCCGGTGTCTCACTGCCAGCGTCGATGTCTCACCCCATTGGAGCCCATTGGAGCCCGCGCTGGCCGAAACAGCAAAATGCCAAAGCTCCCAGATGATGTTGCAAATGTGAACGAACAAAGAAACGCAAAAAGCACCAAAGGTTCCAGCATGCTCCTCTCGGTGGAGTGGACGGAATCTGAGCCAAATGAGCCCCATGATTTAGATAACTCATGATAACTCTACCTTTAGAGCAGATGGCACTGGCACCCCAAGATGTCTCAGACAGATCTGGGTCCATCTAAGCCACCTCTTGGTTCCCTGCCATCTACTCTCAATCCACTATAGCTATTCTGTTCTATCGAAACACCCATGTCAAGCTCTTCAATCTCTTTGAGGTGATCTGGATAGAACGATTCCGAGGACCACAGATCTCTCGCGTCAGTTCCATTCCTATTTCCCAGACACGACTAATGGGACCGGCATATATATGCCTACATTGGGGTTGTTGGGGGGGTCAATGAAGGCATATATGGCAGTCCCATGGAGCGTTTGGGTTTTTGAACTCGCCATTGTGGAGGGTAAACCCTCCGCGAAAAAGGGCTATGGTCCACTTCCATGACTGACGGTTTCAGGGGAGTGTAACTACTGTAAACTCACAGATTTTCCGGTCGTCAAAGTGGACTGCAAATCCAAGTCTTCGTTTGGAGCACCACCTAACTGTTTTCGCACCTAGCTGTGGTACGAAAAGAGCCCTGCAAAGAAGCGATCGGCCTGCGACCAAGGGGGGAAGGAGCTCAGTCTGTAGATTTAATATTAATGTCGTATGATCAATCAACTCATACTGCGCAGTAAAAGAACCAACAACAACAATGTGTTTTTGTTGATCAATCCATACTGCGCAGTGTTGCAGACTGAGTCACTGCCTGACACAACCCTCCATGGCCATGACACCTTGCTGCATACCGAATTGGCCCTGGCGACGAAGCTCCCATCTGTCGCCCAGTCGGTTTGCTGAAGACGCAGCGAACCGCACTGCATGTGGAACTGCGAATGCCCGTTTTGGCGGTCGTTTCTGTGCCGTCGTTGTAATGCGGCCACTGGCCCCCTGTGAAAAAGGTGTGCTGAAATCGTGCCACCAGAGAGGGCACTGAGGGTGTGGAATTTGGATGAATATGGTGAATTGTTGAGCTGTTTAGACTGTTGGTCACCGACATAAAACCTCCAGGCCCATGGCAAAGATCACAATATTGTCATTATACTCTTCTATCTATTGTTAAGACATAAAATTAACTGTCGCACCGTGTGCTTTTTTTCGCAAAGCGGGCAGGTGCTTTGGCTCCCAGGGTGACCCTAGCGGACACTTGGAAGAAGGGCGCGCACGGGGTTTTCCGGGCGGGCGACCGGACCGAGGAACCTCAAACGGTCATGAACCACCCAACGCCTCAAAAGGTAGCGACCGACCTTCCAACCTATCCCAATCCTACGTACCCTAATCACCTTCTCAGCAGTTGGTGCTCTTGGGATTGAAGGGCATCAGTGACTGCGATCGGGATCGACGATACGAAGCTCTAGATGCGTTTTGGGGGGTTGGGAACCATTATGTAATCAGAATAACAACTGTAACCAATCAGTATTCTCGAGAACTGCAAAGTGAGTTGTTGAGAACTATCTTAAAAATGTTCTTACGCTAAGGCCGTGCCTCAAATCTGATGATGAAACACTTTGCTTCATCACAAACGCGCCCCTTGATGCTTGGCTCCTCATCAAACAAAGCAGGTCCGGTTGAAGCCTTAGCTTCATGCCAGAGATCCCAGGGGTGCGAGGCTGCCCAGTAGGCTTCGGCTCGCACCATCCCCCCCCAACGGTTATAGAGAGAAAAAATGCGCGCGCAAACCGCCAATGCCGAGGCGAAGACAGCTTTGCTTCTGCCTGACAATGTGGCCACCTTGATGCTTGGAGGCTGAAAGATCTTGGCCCGACGGAACGAAGAAAGCTGGATGCTTTTATCGGAGATGCTATAGTTAAAATAAATCAGGGGGGGTCGATGTTCAGCACCCTTGACTGAAGCCATCAACACAGATTACGCGCCCCCATCGCGGTCAGGCTACAAGGTGAATGTCTCACAACACGTGGCCTTGAGCCCATTGCAGCTGCAGCTCCGTGCTATCTTCCAGGCAGCGAACCCGATGCAAACCCGATGCGTGCGGGTTCCGTGACACCTTCAACGCTCACTGTGACGTTTCACATACCAGGGGCCACCGTTTGGGGCTGTTTCTCACTTGGGGACCGTCCGAGCGCGCGAAGGCCGAAGGCCTGGTCCTGCTTCGTGAAGCGAACTGGCGTCAAAATGCCGCCCCGGAACGTCCTTGCTCCTAGTAGCGATGGCTTCCAACCCAATAGGGTAGTAGCTTCTTGTTAATACGTAATAGTAGTAGTAGTAGTAGTAGGAGTAGGAGTAGGAGTAGGAGGAGTAGCAGTAGCAGTAGCAGTAGTAGCAGTAGCAGTAGCAGTAGCAGTAGCAGTAGCAGTAGCAGTAGCAGTAGTAGCAGCAGTAGGAGTAGTAGTAGTAGTAGTAGCAGTAGTAGTAGTAGTAATGGCCTCCACCTGAATAGCGATGGCCTCCAACCCAGTCGCTTTAGTTACTAGTAGCAATTCCCGGAGCTACTAATGTTTTTCAGCCTGAAATCCACCACCTCTGGACTGATCGGTCGTCATACGCATTGCTGGCGCAGTGGCCGTGCATGTATGGGGTCGGGTTGGTTCGATTTGGTCTCCTTCGGTCCTCAAACTCCAGTCAGTATTTGTCCGATCTGGATTTGAGGGATCGGGGCCAGCTGCTGAGTATAGTATATATAGTTATTTTACATTGTATAACGCATATATATATATACTGAATTTATACTAAACTTATGTATATATATATATACTCGGTTCCTTTAACATCTTAACATTCTAAGTTTTAACGTGCATCAACGTTTGGAATGTTTCAACTCACAGTTCCTTTAACATGTTAATCAACTTTCTGAATGTTTCAACTCCAAAAAGCGTTGTTCAAAAGATCATGTGAACAACCACCCTGTTACAAATATATATATATATATTATTAATACATGACACTCCGTGTAAAATACATTTACTGACATTGGGGTAGTTTCAGGGGTCAATGTAGGCATATATTCATATATATTCCATACACGGAGCTTCTGAGTATGTGACACTTGTGTTTGGGAGATGCCTCAGTGATGTCAGTTTGGAATCACAGACTTCGGAGTGGAACTGTCGAAAACAGCAGTGGCATCCTTTTTGCTTCTCAAAGGGAACCTCAATCAACGACACGATCACGAGTCACCTATGAGTTTGGAAGTAATGTACTGTCTGATCAATAAGACTCCCTATAATGTAAAGCCATTCTGGCAGGGGGGGTTATCAATCGTTACATCAGAAAACTGCCGACAGCCCCAGCTGGCTGGGCCCTGCCGGCCTTTGCGACGCTGCACGCGGCAGGTCATAGGTGCAGCCACTGGCTTCGTGGCCTACAATGCGACTGGTCTCGACGCTCTTCAGCCTGGGAGCCCGGCCCGGATGGAGCAGCAATGGGAAGGTTTCCATCCCAACAAGGAAACAGATTTGGAACATCAAGGAACTAGCATTTAACCACGACCTGGTTACTTTAACCACGACCTGGTTACCTTAACCATCTCCGTGGTTAAGTGCTAGTCTTGGAACATCAAGGAACTGCGGTCTTGGGTGGGTTCCGTTGTTTTCTTGCAGGACATGGATTGGTTGTTCTTCAAGCGGAACGTGAGGGGAGTCACGTTCCATGGAGGTTCATTTGGCCCCAACGAAACCGCTGATCCCTTGACCTCCGGCGCTGCAGCTGTTTGGCTTGGAGCCGAAGAAAACTGAGCGGAAGCACGAGGTTTATCATGGTTGATCCACGAGCCAAAAGGGCATCCCAGCTTTCAACCAGGCGTCCAGCGACTAAGGGTCGGTGTCTACGCTGCATGAATCACAGCGTCTTCCAGCTCAAGATCCTCCAACTCCGAGTATATATGAGGATAATTTTAGATATAACTAGCATTAATTTCTAGTATTTCCAGGCCTTCGAACAGCATAAATTATTCCCGTTCCATAGCTGGTTGAGGCACAGGCTTGTTTGGGTACACTCATGTTTACACGTCCAAGATGCAGGAATGTTGTGGCATTCAGGTGTCCAAGACTCCATCGTTCCAGGAATACCTGCAGGTTTTGGCCGATTGGTCCTCTCACCAGTGGGCTTGGATGGTACTCGATGTTTTGCCAGCCAGCCATATGAAGAGGTGTCCGCTGTATTTGTTGGCTCCACCTTTTACAGCGATGTCAGAGGTTCGATGGCACTGGCACCCCTACATGTCTTTAAGCTGGGGGTCCATATAAACCACCTTTGACTTGGGGTAACTTGTGCCATCTACTCTCCATCCACCTGACTGACACCACCAACGACACGCTCACGCCCATGTCGCTGACGCCGATCGCCGTGACCGCCCTGCGGCACTCGGCCTTTTACTCGCCCTTGCTGCGACCCGGCACCTTTGAGAAGGGAGAATGATATACGGCTAGGGTGTAGCCCATTACCAGTAACGGTCAGTCAGTAAAAAGGTTGTCACTGGTAATAGGATGAAACGCCTTTACTAACCATCATCATCCACTGTTACCGGTAATGGGATGTACCCCATATATACTGTATAGCTGTGGGTCTAAAACCTGTGAACCCTGGTGGACCACCACGGGTTTAATGAACAGAATGGACGACCGACAGGAGGTCAACCGACAGCCATGTGGGGCAGATGATATGGGTGTGTATTGCAAAAGGGAGACCCCCCCAGCCACGTTGGATGGAACTTCTTGTGGATCAAACACCTCGTTCTGTCTTTTTTGCCCGCCCTCAGTTAATTAAGTTGGCGCCTACTGCCTAAAGGGCTAAGCAAAGCTACTAGGATCTACTAGGTAACCTGCTGCTACTAGCTAGGATGCAGCATAGTTCACATTTCTTCAAGGAAGCTCCCCGCGTGTTGAGAAGTTGCTGACAGGAGACATGAACTGGCGAACGGATGGCATCACTACATGGTGTGAAAAAAAAGAACGAGGGACATGAAAGGAGAAGAAAAGGCAAGAAAGGGTCTTTCAAGTTGATGCTAGATTTGGACTCTTTCATGACCACTCAAAAGAGGATCTCAATTTGATGCCATTTTTGGCCTTCGCCGCCCGACTTGCATGGGTCAATTCAAGTGCTTTTGGGTCAGAGAGTTTGACAGGCAGAACTTCGCTCCAGCAGGGCAACCAGTTTGTGCATGATTCTTGACTGTCTCAGAAAGTCCCGCTTCTGGGTGGGTGTTCACATGTTTTCTTCTGTCGCCACTCAGGTACACGATCCGCAGCGGCTTGCTTGAAAAGGAGGGTCTCCAAGCCCAGTACGCCCCACAGACGCCCAGTACGACACCCGCCGTGGAGCAGGTGGTGGGGATGGAGGTTTGTCGATGAAGCGAGGCAGAGACTTGTGGCTCAAAGAGTATATTATGTTTGTTGATGAGCAACACCCATCCATGCCAGGAGAGTTCTACATCTCCAGCCTTGGGAGGCTTCTCCAGCTTATGAATCAACCGTCAACATTATAGGGCTCAGGGACCTGTAACTTGTTGTTCTCAATCATGTTTGCCATTGACCTATGTGGGTTGCACCTTAATGAACTAACCTTCCCCGGAAAAGGGCTGATTCATGTTCTCACCTTCCTGGCTTTCCCAAGGGCTCGCAATACGGTACGGGGCAGGGGTCTAGCATTTTCACAACTTCCACCCAAGAACCATAAGGCAACCCATACACTGCCATGTGCACATAATTATTAGCCGCGCAGGTGAAGTCTGGCCAAGCAGATCTTTGCCAACTGGCCGTGGCCGCTTCCTTTGCCGAGCTCGAAAGGCGCGTCGGTGACACACCGATCGATCTGTGTTTTGTTTTGGGTCAGTGACTCAGTGACGGATTTGTTTTCTTTGATCAGATCTCAAAACCCAGACACTCCATGACATGGATTTCCATCTGTCCCATTGACAATAGATAGATATATAATGATTAGGTAATGTAATGGAAGAGTTGACTATCCTCCTCCTACACTCCCCCCTGCTGAAGGAAGAGGTGAGAACCTAGCTTTCAAATCAATCTGGCTGGGCTGTTTGGCCCATATGCTCCAGCCATCTTGTGTGGTCGAGGGGTGACCAGATATGTTCATAGTTTGCCAGTACATGAACCACGAGAATGGCAACCTGCAGAGATGTCCGGAACGATAAAAAGACGATAACAAAAACGATAAGGAAATGTAGCAGAAAACACCCCTGGTGGGCAAGTACCCATTTGACTGTTTTCATTAGACCTTTTCGAGGGCAGGAGTGTGCGGCGCGGTAGTCTTGTTTAGCTGTTTATATCTGATCTTTGCTAGTGCCATTTATTATTTACCACCAAAGACCGTGTACGCCTTGGTGCAGGCAGTTCTTCGGGATCCTGAAGTAGGACCACCAAAGATGCTTTCACATGCATGGAAACCTGCTAATTTGACAGTTTTGGTGTGCAAAGAGCCCAACACCTGAGAAAACGATAAGAGTAAAAGAGACGATAACATGATTTCGAGGTATTGCAAAAGACAAGGGTTTTTCAATACCCCATGTATTGAATATGTATATTTATAGACCTACATTGACCCATGAAACCACTCCTATCGCCATGCATGAAGTGTTTGAGAAGGGTCGCGCGTAGGCGAAAGAAACATGTGTGAGAGATTGTGAGAGTTAGTTAGAAAACAATTGGCATGAACGTGTGCGCATGCGCCATCCTGGCATCGTGTTTTGAACTGCACCTGTATATTATATGAACAGTAGTTTACCAATGTTTACTGTTCAACGCGAAGGAAATCATGCTTCTAGCCGCAGCCGGACCTTCCCTTCGGGAACAAGACACGCTTTCCTTTTTGAGAGATTCCTCGTCCCATCGCAAAAGCCATTCTACTCTTTGCCGCCTGCCGTGAAGAGCGCTTGAACATGACTGGCAAACGTATAAGCAGTTGAGGGCAAAACTACACAATCATGGCTGGAAGCTTTGGAGGCGACATTTCAGACTGCAGAAGAGGGATCAGCGGATTTGTCCTCTATGATCGCGAAACTTGAGAAGTGGAGGTTGAAAGAACTGCAAACAGCTCTGAGCTTCCTTGCGCAGGTCATGCACCGGATACTGGCCATTGGGAAGCTCAAGGCTTTTTCGAATCTTTCCGCAGAAGCGCCGGCGCTGTGCAGGTGCTAGCAGCCATCAAGATTTTCAAGGACTTGGTTTCGAAGAACCCTGCTTTCCTCGCACTCTGATGACCTGAGGCGCATTTTCAACAGTCAGAGCCTCCACTCACGATCTGCACTGATCAATGCAATGCTTTGCAAGACGCGCAAGCCACTTTGTACATGACGCAACCTGGCACTGACATGCGCTGACCAAGCGCAACAGTGCGCTGAACAAGCGTAACAGGGTGCTGAAGAAGCACTGCAAGGAAAACCAGCTGTTGGACTAATTTTGGCGGCCTTTGTTGAGTTTTGATTGGCTTTTGGTTGCTTTTGTTGACTTTTGGTGGCTTCTGTTGGCTTTTCGTTGCTTCTGTTGGCATTTGGCGGCTTGTGTTGGCTTTCCGTGGTTTGCCTGATCAATCTGCGAGTGTGGTGGGCACTGTGCTGCTGCAGGTGGCCAGCCTTCTTGTTTTGGAGATTTGCAAGGATTTGGGGTCATTGGTGTTTCTACGCGTTGCTGTCAACATCAGACGTGGTAGCTAAGTCAGAAACGATCAGAAACGTCTCACCAGTGACTTAGGATTTGTCGGACGTTCTCCAAGAATCGATGTCCTATCTCATGAAGAATGTACTTTTTGACCTGTTTTTGGTCCACAACTCCCACCTCACGAAGCTTTGCAAAGCAAACAAGGAACACGACTTGCGCGTGAGTAGCGTGTGCTAAAGTGGATGTTCGAAAACCGGCCTGACGCGGTGCCATTTTGGATCAAGTCCTGGACGCCCTTGCTCTTCTTCCTCGGCCGAGGAAGGCCTACAAGGAGAGCATTGGGATTCCCCCCTTCCTCCGTCTCCTTGCGGTTGAGCGCTCACTGGAGCAAACGGTGCGGCCACGTCGCTCACGGCCAAGATCCGTTCCCAGTGAGCGCAAGAGGAGCGTGGTCCCATCGGAGAAAGCAAGCGGCAGCTTGATTCCCTTTTGGAGCGTCGAAGGTAAGAATATCCGCTCTTAGCTCTTCAGCCTTTTTGTTTCACAAAAGTATGGTGTGCCCAGGGCATGTGTGGCCAAATGCCAACACATGAGATCGGACAATCGGACAATGAGATAGAATAGCGTCCACGATGCAACTTCCAGTGCAACAATATAAGGGCATGCAACCACAATTTTATACACTCATTGTGTAGCAGTATAACGATAGTACTCGCAGCTATAGTGATAGTGTAACCATGTGTAACTGTGTAACCATTATTCACAAACTCAAGTAACACTTATTGTAGTGCAACTCTAGAATAGAGCAGTGTCGTAACGATATTTGTTGATAATGCTTATACTTATTTAACTTCCAGTGTGTGCATTTTCAGCTGGGGCAATATGATGTATACTGCTAGTGGATCCAACACCACCAAAGTTGTTGGAAAAAACAAGACACCGGTGAGGTTCACACTTTTTGTGAGGATATGAACCTGGCCTTGGCGGCCGCAACATTGGGGGTTGAACCAGGTCGACAGAGAAAACGGCGCTGGTGCACTTCGCTCAGATCAATGCTGCTTGGCCTGAAGGACCTTTGAAGGTGGGAACGGTAGCGCCCCAGTGACATTATTTGTAGTAGGAGTGCGGAAGAGAGGATTTTGCCTTCTTGACGCAGACTTTTGCATCACCATCCCTGACCAACCATACTACTGGTAGCATGGATGTGGTTTCTGGCGACGGGCAGCCATTGGTGGTTTTATCGCGCTGTGCGATTGGGAAAAAACACCCCAGAGAAAGCATGCACATGTGCAAGCTGTCATTTTCGTGGAAGATACTTTGTCAGCGCAGCAAGATCTGGCACGCATGATTTCTCTGAAATGTTGTGGACAATCCTTTTGGGTTTGCTTCAGTTGATCTATGACTATGTTGATCTTATTGCTTGGCCAGGGCCTGATCCAGCCATTAACTGTTCACCTTGGACGAATGTTTCGTTTCATGTCCGGAGCCTCCATGTGTTGCTTTGAAGTTGGCTACATATGTTTTACACATGCCAAGTGGAAGACAAGTCCAAATGGCGGATGGGTGAAACAACAAAATAACAACCACCCATCGAATCGCACGGAACATGCAACCAAAAAACTGATTCGCCATGTGGACTGTTGAACATGACCGTCCTAGCTTTGGACAAGATATTTCTTGTATAGTTTCAATCATTCATGCAGGCTGTGGGCAGTCCAGGGGGTCCCACGGCTGCTATATAGCTATGACTTCACTTGCGGCTGTTCAGCCGAAAGCGTCACCGTCGTCACCTGGACGCAGCTCATTGGATTGTTTTGAGCTGGAGTCAATTATCCAACAGGGGTTCAAAAATATGTCAGACCCTGCTCAGACGTTTCCAGGTCTTTCCAACATTTTCCAACTGCAAAACGCGGCAAATGTGGCGCTTGGATCATTGGGCCCATCCGCCTACAAAGACAGCGCAAACAGCAGATAACGAGTCTAGTTTGGATTGACTATCGGCTATATATCGATCAAAAAACGGTGTCAAACATCACATAGTCAAGTGAGGACTTCGACGACCAGCTGCTCTGAAAGATCATCATTGCCACACTCCGATTCACGTTTGTTTGATTCATGGTAGGTATGTGTGTGTCACATTCTATCACATTTTCCAGAATGCAGAAGGCGCGACGCTGTGTAAGTTTCTCACCGCGCAAGCTGTTTTTTTGACGCGCTGCTCTAGTGACTTTTAACAGATGCATTGTATGCGTGCCCGGCAGCTGTGCCTAGCAGAGGGAAGGTATAATATGCGTAGATTCGCTGGAAAGTGTTTTCGGCTTCTTGATCCAAGTTTCCGACACGGCCTTTTAAGGAGCGCGACGGCTTCTTTCTCGTAGGCCGCACGAAAGATTTCCAGTGGAGAGACTTGGAGAACAAGGAGGTGCCATGAAAGCAAGCCTGCAAGAGTTCTGGACAGATTCCGGGCACAGGCCGTTTACATGGATGAGTTGCGGGTGGGAGCTTTATTTACCGCAGTTTTTTATTCTACACACTTTGTGCCGCTCCATCTTCCCGCGCTGCAGGTGCTGGTGGATCATCTCTTTCAACCTCTGGCCTTGATGAAATATGCCTGCCATTTGCAGATGCTTGGCGCAGAGGTCGCACCGCAGTTCTCTAGACGCTGCAGTCGTGAGACAAGACCAACACCCCAGCGCTTTCCAAGTTCTCTTTTAAAGTCATTTTTCGTCAGAGACGGCGAGACTTGCGAGCAAACCCACGACGTGGCTATCTTGAACTGATTGTTGATCAATGTCACTTTCCGCTGATCAGGAATGTGGACTATTCAAAGATGAAGGTGGTTGACGCAGGCAGTTCCTCCTTGTTTTTGCAAACACGATGGAACCATGGAACGTAGGATGTTTTGTCACAATCAGTGGCGCGTGGCCAGCTGCAAATTTTGAGACTGGAGGCGGCCCAGATGACATGGAAGAAACCTTCCGCAAAGGACGAGGCTGCGAACCAAACCCGCCAAACAAGATGGGACATCACAAAATCATTTAAACCGAACTGAACTGAACAGTGTTTAAATAGTATGTTACACTGCGCTAAGCCTCACTGCGCCTACCCCCACTCCAATACTGGCGCTTTAGGCAAGCTTAGCAAGGGACGGGTTTTGAGAGGCTCTTGACATCTGATTTCCACAACATCCGCGCCTGGGTGGGGAAACGTTGCTGGGTTCCAGGTGATTTCGTCCACCTGCAGGGCCCTGCAGCCCAGAAGCTGGAATATGAGGGCAAAGGCCGGACATGGCGCAGGGGATTCCACAATTTTGCAATTTCCTTACCAAAAACTGACCAACCACAGCACTGTCAAGTGAAGAGCACGTAAAAAATATCGAAGAACGTCGCCCGTGTCGAAGCGCATCAGGTGTTCCTTTTCTTGCGCGCATTGTTGCCACTGTATACATACGATTTAGTTCTACATATTACATACAATATATATATATATATTTGGCTGCGGCCAAAGACAAAAGGCTTGGACCACACACCCAAACCCACACACGATCCATACTTCGATCCATGGGGTTGGATCAAAAGGTCGGTGTGTGATCCAAGACCTTGGATAATCACAGGTTTGGTTTTCCTAGAGGTGGTCCGTGGAGCAAACAAAAGAAGGCAGAAGTAGGAGGAGAAGAAGAGCAAGCAGGAAAAAGATTAAGCAGAGAGAAGACAGGAGCAAGAAGGAAAAGACGACAAAAAGAATGCTCTAAAAGCAACGCCTCGGAAGCCGCTAAATTGAAGACTGAAATGGTGGGTGTCCCTGTCCCTTAGGAATCCAAAGGCAAGCACGGGGAAGAATCGAACCAACAAAGGCTTATTTAATAAGATTGCGTGGCTATTGCTTTATCCATTAGACTAAGGGCGCTTTTGATGGAGAGCGGCCCCTGAAATCTAACCGAAGCCAAGAGTTGGTGGGCTGACTTCACAAGATGGCTTGTGTTTGTTGTTTCCGGCTGAAAAGCGGGGCGCGCGCGCGCTCAACTTACGGGAAACTACGAGTTAAGCGGATGATGGCAGAAAAGTGAGTGGCGAGCTCGATCCAGCTGCGTGTCAACTCTGGGTGGGCCCAAAAAACTCGAAGTGCACGAGCCCAATGAAAAGGTTTACCGGAAGCCAGTAAATTGAGAGTGTCGCCTGATTGTGAACTTGACTTTCCTGGATGAGGCACTGCCTGGGCATTCCATGCATCCTTGTGACATGGGCTTTGAGTCCACTGTGTCAGGGTTCACTTGTGGATGAGGCTTGGATCAAGTGAGCAAATACATCGTGTTCCATAGGGTTGGGACCAGGGCCTTGATCCATGCAGTATGGATCACTGTCGTTGCAGCACGGAACGATCTATACCAGGGTTTTTTGCCATGCCCATAGATATATGATATATGTATATGTATATATGTTTTGTATATTCTTTATTTTTGTTATTCTAGGTGAACCCCATAGCTTCACATGTATAGTTAAACAGAAAGTGCGGATGTCGGCTTTCGTTTCAGGGGTGATTCTGTTGTGTCAAAATGCACTTGTCAACACGAAAAGATTCCACAGGAAGTACCGGGGCGTAGTCAGTTCCACTGGTTTGCACAGCAATATAGTTTTTCGCTGAACATGCTGAACCATGTATACATATATATATATATATGTCCCCTTCGTTGTGGCTCATGTCCCTTCTCAAATCTTGCCGAACAGTTGAAGAATTCATGTGCCGTTCAAGCTTTCGCCCTGGCCAGACTTGGCCGGCCCTGGCCCATTGCCTGCCCCACATCCTTTTGAGATCGACCACCGATGCCGCTGTTGTTCCGCGTGACCGGTGTTCAACACCGCGCAGCGGCAGAATCTGACCTGGCAGGTGTGGTGGTTGCATCGATGGGCGATGTGATTGGACCAGTCGCCTTTAGCTCCCTGACATTGTTACGGAAGATGGTTTGATCGATGTCCCTAGCCATCCACAAACATGACCTATAGTTTTCCGGTTGTCGGATAATTTTTTGAGATGTGGCGATGGGGGAGTTCAACTCAATGTGGTTGCAGATTCAAAAGGCTGCGAATTCCGTTTCTTTTCAGGCCACCAGGAGGGCCCTGCGTCTCTAAGATGCTGCATGGGATGAACGCTCCGGTTTCCTGGGGGGAAACCCTCGGGAAAAAACCACGAACCCAGATTTGCCTTGCAGAGCGGCAGTTCCTGGAAGGAATTCATCAATGCTAACATTGGAACAATGACGTGTGGCCAACCACATCATTCATGTTCTCATCTCCGTCTCCCAATCCCGAAACGCATAGCTCAGCGAGTGATTTCGTCGTCGGAGACCGGGGCCCCCATGCAATGCATGCGGAACCTTGCCACCATCCTGAGATTTAGAGCCGAGAGTTGGTAGAACATGGTAGCGTTAGTTGCGTGAGCGGTTGAAACACCCTGTACTGTACTTGTCAATGTAGGGAAAAATGTAGAAAAGTTGGCAAGTCGGTGGCAAGTCGATGTTTTCAATGTCGCACGAGTTCCAAGTCGCAACTATCGTTGGTGCACGTGTGACAGTTTGGACGGGGTGTCAATGTGCAGAAGCAAAACACATATAAACAAATGGCTGTGAGTGAAACCCTCCCCCTACCAAACCATGATAGGTTGGCGTCCCTTGCAGAGGAATCGGTTCATTTTCGTGGTCAACCAGAGTTTCCTGGTTCTGACCCACAGCCGAAGGTGGTGAATGGACACCCGAATCACCTCTTTTCGGGGTGGTGTTTGGACATCCCGAAACAGGGGCCCTAGTATAGCATTGCAGTAAAAAACGGTTGCGAAGCGAAGGTTGGTGAAGGTTGCTCCACCTGTTAACCCACCTGCATTTGCCCAGAGGAGAGGGTGTGTGTGGTGCTTCTAGGATAGTTCAACGGTTGAAAAGACCTTTTTATAACGCTGTAGCTCGGGCGTTATCAACTCTCCGCAAAACAGAGAGCTGTGTTGACTTGATAAGCACTCTTGAGGGTTTGGAGATGGACACCCAGAGTCAGATCAAAAGGTCGTGCGAAAAACCATCAGTTGTGCATAATGATTCCGCCACGTCGCCACGTCTCAGGCTCCCTTTATGCCAAGAGGGAATCTTGGTCAATAAGCTGGTCTCGTTCGTGGCCACACGCTCCGTGTACAGTTGCCACCCCTTGGTTGCCTGTTTCGCGGTCCTAACTAAGTCGAAGAGAATCTGAAATAAAGTTTGACGATGGGTTTCTGGGACGGACATGAGAAGTGGGGGCAGCGCACCGCGAGTTGACCAACACTTCTTCGGGTTTCGATCACAGCGTGGCAAGGAATGGCTGAAGACGGATGTGGCCAGAGCCTTCATGCGAGCCTATCGTGGCTTGGATGAAGAGCACCTTCGTGTCCAGGGGCATCGATGTCTGCAAGGTGACGGAGGTATCGCATCGCAAGCATCATTACTAACCGAGAGTAGTACATATGGCTGGTACAAAGATCCCCCATGATATTCGGACTAGAAAATGGAAGGGGTTGACGTCTGTAGAAAACGGGCATTCTTTAGTCTCAAGGAGGTAAACTCACCGGGAAAGGGTCAGGTAATGCATTATAGTGACCTATAGGTCACCAGGAAATCAGAAGCAGGGTCATTTTCTAGACATCACCTTGTTTTCTTGATCCCACCGTGAGCCTCATTTTCTAGTGAGGTTCCTGGAGTTTAAGTTTAAGTTAAAAGAACACAAACTTTAAATCCTCAAGACCTAGAAACAGAAAACTCAAGACAGATATTCAGAATATTCCAGACACACCCCTAGCTTTCAGTGTGAATATCATGGGGAAAGGGTGGACACAAGTGCGGAGCGATGTTTTGCGAAGGGCAAGGATGCTACTACCAGCTCCTGGCCTTACTACTAGCAAGAAGCTACTAGTAACAAAGGGCATCGCTACTAGCAACCCGGGCATCGCTACTAGGAGCAAGGCCGCGAGCGTTTGTGAGCGTTTTCTTTTGCACAAGGCTTGGATTATATAATAAAAGCGCACTAGAAAATGAGGATACGTAGGCGTGTGAGTCGTGTTTCCCATTTTCTAAAAAAGGGTTCGAGTTATTTGCAAGGCATGTGAGAGATCGCTCAAGAATTTGCACCCACTAGAAGATGAGGACGCGTAGGCATGTGAGTCGTGTTTCTCAACTTCTAGAGAGGGTTGAGTTATTTTCAAGGCATGTGAGAGATTGCTCAAGAATTTTCACCCACTAGAAAATGAGGATACGTAGGCATGTGAGACGTGTTTCTCATTTTCTAGAAAGGGTTGGTGTTAATTTCGAGGAATGGGAGATTCCTCCACTAGAAAATGAGGATATGTAGGCATGTGAGTCGCGTTTCTCATTTTCTAGAAAGGGTTGGGTGTTATATTCAAGGCATGTGGGAGATTCCTCAAGAATTGTCACCCAGTAGAAGATGAGGATACGTAGGCATGTGAGTCGTGTTTCTCATTTTTTAAAGTGGGTTGATGATATTTTCAAGACATGTGAGAAATTGCTCAAGAATTTTCACTCCCTGGAATCACTAGAAAATGAGGATGCGTAGGCACGTGAGTCGTGGTTCTCATGTTCTAGAAAGGGTTGGTGTTATTTCGAGGAATGTGGGGGATTCCTCAAGAATTTCCACACAAGAAAATGAGGATATAGGCGTGTGAGTCGTGTTTCTCCTTTTCTAGAAAGGGTTGGGGGTTATTTTCAAGGCATGTGGGAGATTCCTCACGAATTTTCACCTACGAGAAAATGAGGATGTGTAGGCATGTGAGTCGTGTTTCTCAACTTCTAGAGAGGATTTGTGTTATTTTCAATGCATGTGGGAGATTCCTCAAGAATTTTCACCCACTAGAAAATGAGGATGTGTAGGCGTGTGAGTCGTGTTTCTCATTTTCTAGAGAGGGTTGGGGTTATATTCAAGGAATGTGGGAGATTTCTCAAGAATTTCACCCACTAGAAAATGTGGATACGTAGGCATGTGAGTCGTGTTTCTCATTTTCTAGAAAGGGTTGGTGGTTATTTTCAATGCATGTGGGAGATTCCTCATGAATTTTCACCCACTAGCATTAATGTTTTCCATTTTACTGTTGTAAATCTTTTCAGAATGTTGCGGGATCTTGATGAACTCTGCGGATCACGGAGTTTTGCAGCTGTTGTTTAATTTTTGCCTTTTGTATGCTTTGTTTGCTTTTGGAAGTCCTCGCATCACATAGATGATGTAGGAGAAAGCAGGATCAAAGCAGGATCCGCTCAAAACTGACAAGCACACGTCCAGACACCAGAGCATCCGCTAGAACATTGCAGACGTGGGTCCAAACGCAGGACGCGCCAAACACAGGTCCAAGGGTGTGTTTGGAATTTCAGGTCATTTTTAGTGATATGATATCACTAGATTATGCCAAACACACTGCTCATGAGGCTGCGTTCCTCTTTTCCTAGGTAGCTGACATTCATCGTCCCCCAGCAAATCACTAAAGAATGGCCAGGACCGACGCCTCCATGTGATTTTCATGAGGGATGTGCAAAGGCAGTCTGTTGACGTGTGAATGTGGCTGAAAAAGACTATGTACATACGATGTACATAGATATCCATTTATAGTATGCCTTCTACCAGTTTGGGGCGAGCGCCATCATTTTTTCGAAACCATTGCTAGTACCTTGTTTTTAGATTCAACATGCCAGAAATTTGGAGACGCCGCGGAGAATGAACCAATGACAACAAAACCCGAGTGCCGCGGATAAGGCACCAACAGCAAAAGCTAAATGCAGGCAGTAGTGGGGAGTAGAAAACCCTAAAGGAAGACCAGGGCCTTGGGCACACCGTTCTTTCTTACATTTACCTCAGAGCGCGCCAGACGGAATCTCAACCACGGAGCTGGATTCAATTCAAGCAAATGGCCCCTCCATCCGAGGGCCATTTCCAAATGGCAGTGAAGGTTGTTCCAGCCGGAAGAGCTACAGCGGCCCACGGAAGGTTGCAAAAAGAACTATGCGCACATATGTAAAACATGTACCAGTCACTTGTGGAGACTAGTCCTATGACTCCCCAAGACCACTGCCTCAGCCATATATTCATTCTATCATTCTATTTGAGAATGGGCATTCAGGCTCATTGAATGAAACGCATGATATGAAGTTCACAGGGTTATTCTCCATGTGTGGGTTTGGGGCTTGGGGGGGGTTGCTCGTGGTCAAAGGCTGGGAAGCGTCCGTGAACTCCAACAAGCAGGGAAGCCTTTAGGCTGGGAAGCCTAATTCGTGCAGCCATTTTATGGGGTGTCGAGCGGTGTCTGTCAAGCCACGCTGCGGAAACGGTCGGCTCCTCAGACCTCAGGGATGTCACTCGGTTTATCCGGGTATGATACGGCATGAGAGCATCATCCTGGTTTGTCGTTGGCGGGGCATGTTTGCATCACTGGTTCACGCAGCCTCGGCCATCTGAAGCTTTTTCACCACCCGCGTCTGCATTGGAAGACCCTGACTGACTAATTTTGACGGGCCCCCAGCTCAAAGCACACAGCCTTGCAGGAGCAAAACATGGCAGCCGCAGCGAGTTCAGCATTGACAACGTCGACAATGGCAGGCAGTGGGTGATCTCATCTTTTAGACGCGACTGACGGGTTCATGGGTCATTATTGAGTTTTGAACCTATAGGCATTTCATGCATGAATTCAGCTTTAAGCTGTTGGACTCTGACCTTGCATGGTGCCTGGAAATTCATGCCAGTCAGATGACTCACCGATGCCACGCACGCCGCCTTTGGATCTGGATCACCTCCGGATCCTGCTCCTGGTCGACCACCGCCTTCAACCCCACCAGAGTTGCTTCTCCGTTCCTGGCTTGACTTGTTGAAAGACGCTAATGTATTTTAATTGGGTTTTGAAGTTGACACCGACCGATGATCATGACATCTGACAATGACTTGATTGGGCTTCCTCAGCTGCTGCTTGCGCAAGAGAAGGAGGGTGGCAGTGACCTTTGAGGTCGACGCGGAACAGTAGGCCAGTTGAAGTGTGAAAAGTTAAATGTCTAAAGTGGCCCTGACCCGCTGCAGGTGCCGAGCGTGCTGCGAGATGGAGGGGCAAACTAGCTAAACACTCAAAAGGACCAAAATCCAGTTCAGCGCGACAGAAATCACAACGTTCCTTTTCTCACTGTAGATTCTTAGGACTTCGCGGGCGTCATCATCCGACGCGGCTCCAAAAAGCACGTCCAAAAGAAGGAGATTGAATTGACTATGTGTCTATACTGCAGTGTATTACTCGTAGTTGCCGTTTCCTATTATTGCTGTGCTGTTTGGTTTTCACTTGTCGTGCCATGTTGCATGTTTTGAACAAAATCATAGCTACATTGAATCCAATACTAGCGCAGAGAAATGCACCTTTCACCCAGTAAGAAGCTCAAGAGGAAGACCAGGGCCTTGGGCAACCATATCCACCACGGTAGTGAAGGTTGGCCCACCAGTTGCAGCAGCCTACTGAAAATGGTTGAAAGAACTATGTGCAGATATACACAGATAACATCGAATACAGCTGACCCAGCCTTCAGCCATCTCCATGCGACAATTGCCGTGCGCGGAAAGCGGAAAAAGTATCCTGCGTGTTTGCTTTCGTTTCCCCCTTCTCAGGTCATTCCCAAAAAAGGACATCATTGCTTCATGGAAGCTATGACAGCTAGCTATCACTACTTGCGGCTGCGCCGCGATGTCAGAGGGATTTCGGATCTACTTTGGCTCCAATTCGACGTTGAACCCCACCTCTCAATACTTCAATAACATCCAAAAAACGTGAGGTAGGGCCTGCGCAAAGAGAACCAACCATTGGCACCGTCCTATTAAGGACAGGGCCGCGCAGCCACTGCGCAGTTAGCAGCGAAAGAAGTGGCGGAGGTGGAGCATGGCGGAGCCGAGCGGAGGGCCGGGGTGGTTCAATGGCGCAAAGAAGACACCAATATACAATAGGTGTAGGGTTAGGACACGGATTTTCCAAGATATTCATACTGGTGGAACTGAACATCCACAGGGTGGTTCGTTGAGTTCCTCAACAGGAATACCCCACAGATGACCATTTGAGTGATAAAACGTTGCCAAAGCAGAGGGTCCGGTGGAACGACCATGCAAATTGTTTTGTAGGGGGTTCTAGGGTTTAAAAAAAATCATATGGCAAGGCCAGAATCCGTGATTTAACTAGACGACGAGTGGCCCGAAAGCATTTTTCATCACGTAGGAAGTCAGAGTGCGAGTAATCCGGTAAGTGTGCAGTGAGAAGTGTGAAGTCGAGTGAGTTGAGGTAGTGTGTGGGTTTCTGTGCGTGTGTCTATGTCCGTGTGGAAATGAGTCTGCGTATGTGTGTGTTCGTGTAAGTTGAGGGAGTGTGTGGGTGTCTGTGTGTGATGCGGCCTCCCAAACCCCCCACCGGCGGCCAAGCGGTGACAGCCCAGCTCATCGTCGTGAGCATTTGGGCTGCTGGTAAGGGGACAATGGCAGCCAGCGTGCTGGCTTACCCACTTCAACTATGATGGTAGCCAGCGTGCTGGCTTTGCCATCTCAATAATGGCAGCCAGCGTGCTGGCTTACCCACTTCAACTATGATGGTAGCCAGCGTGCCGGCTCATACCCACTTCAACTATGATGGCAGCCGGCGTGCTGGCTTTGCCATCTGGACAATGGCAGCCAGCGTGCTGGCTTACCCACTTCAACTATATGATGGTAGCCAGCGTGCTGGCTCATACCCACTTCAACTATGATGGCAGCCAGCGTGCTGGCTTTGCCATCTGGACAATGGCAGCCAGCGTGCTGGCTTACCCACTTCAACTATGATGGCAGCCAGCGCGCTGGCTTACCCACTTCAACTATGATGGTAGCCAACGTGCTGGCTTTCCATCTGGACAATGGCAGCCAGCAAGCTGGCTTCCACTGCCTGTTGTCAGCCAAAGTCTTTGCGTGGCTATCGACACGCCCGATCTCCGCAGAGGGTTGCGCGCACAGCCGGCAAATCGCACTCTCGCCTGCATTTCGCGCACTCGACACGCACGATCTCCGCAGAGGGTTGCGCGCGCAGCCGGCAAATCGCACTCTCGCCTGCATTTCGCGCACTCGACACGCACGATCTCCGCAGAGGGTTGCGCGCACAGCCGGCAAATCGCACTCTCGCCTGCATTTCGCGCACTCGACACGCACGATCTCCGCAGAGGGTTGCGCGCGC